AGCGGGAATAAGAGCAGGATGGGACCAGCGGTTCTCAGCCCAGCAGCCGCTGCTCTGGGCGAAAAGGGGTACTGGCTCCGCAACAGTGAGGGAGAGGCAGGTGGCCCCCTGAGTTATGGCTCGAGGAGGGCAACAGAGGACAGGGAAGTCAGGGCTTAAGCTGCAGTTCTGTGCTCCTGTGTATGTCAGGAGGAACCATGCGGGTTTTGCCATTCACCATCGCTCCATCCCCAGCTCCATGGCTAGCTTTCTCTACCTCCTCTGATAGGCGTGCTTTGCCTTATCCATTAGATGGGATTCTGGCAAAATGTGGCGTCTATCAAGTTATGTGGCTAGGATAGAGAGTAGTCATTTTTGTTCCTGAAACATTTTGTTCCCAAATGCCTTGAATTTGTGTTTTGAAAATCCAGATTTTCTTAACTAGGAAATCTACTGCGTTTTGTCCCAATTCTATATTCTATTAGCTTCCTCTTCATGAGGTTCCAGGTCAAGCCTGCTGCCGGCTTAGGTTTCCCCTGGTGGAATTAAATGTTACACCAAGTCTTGCTTCCCAGGCCACAGGCTACAGAATTAACCTGAAGGAACTGGGTGTAAATGTGAACTCTCTCCCATTACGGATGCTTTGAGATACAAAGGGCATATTTGGCTTTACAGATTCCCACCCCTGTATCCCCTCAGGGTGGTTTCCAACAACAGCATTTTACAAAGTGAGTGTGTCCCTTTAAAGGCTATTTGCATTGGAGAGTGAAGGAGGAAGTTGGGGTGCAGAAGAAAAATTAAAACAGAGGTCTTATTTTCCCGCCACCTCAAACGGTTGTTAATGAGACCATCTTTGACTCTCACTGTTCCCAGAGATAAATAAACACACAAAGGCGGTGTTTCCTACTTAATATTCACCCACAGTGGAGGAAGAGGGAAGGAATTGCTCCCCGGGTTAACGTGGCAGTAAGCGAGGTCAGCTGTTTCCCAAGACGGTGCAGCCTCTGAACGTCTTACATTAAAGCTGGAATGATACAGCTGAAACAGCCGAAGTGATTTACGGGAAAGCCGGTTAGGGTGGATTTGCTCGCAGTTTCTGATCTCACGGAGGCTTTAGCAGCAGCACGAGCAGCGGCAAACAATATGCCATGGTAGAAAGCACCTCCAGAGAAAAGGATCCTTCAACATTTCCTAGTGTTAGACTCGTTTGTTCTAAAAAGTACTTGTATTCATCTAACTTGAAACCCATAGGCTACAGTGTCCTGAATTTAGCAAGAAGTCAAGGGTCATAGCTGGGATATCCTGGGGTAGGGTGACCCGGGACTGAAAGTCCCCCATTCCATTAAATCCCGGAGTCCTGGGCAAACTGGGGCAGTTGGTCACCCCATCTGAGGTGTGTGTGCGTATGTGTCTGTGTGTGTGTTTGTGGATGGAGGGGGAGTGAAGAAAAAGCAGTTAAAGAGATTTGTTTTCTTTATTTATTTTTAATAAGGTTTTTTAAGGCCAACTAGCATAATTAAAATGCTGGTTTTGGTATCAGGCTGCACTAAGTCCTGTTTCCACCATCTGTGAGCTCTCTCTCCCCTCTGGCATCCTGAGCACTGGTCTGAGAAAACAGAACTTTTGAAGGAAAGAGATCAAATGTCTGCTGTTTGAGTTATTTCAGCCCAGAGATGACTCAAAAAGAAGTCTCCTAGAACCTTCTGGTCAATATACAGCGCCCTGCTAATTCCCTGCTAATGAAACGCCACAGAGCTCATTTTTTTTACTAATGGCTTCATTTGGGGTACCACTTACTGTTATTTTAATGGAATTATAGTATGGCTCAACAATGGTAGTGGTGGTGGTTTGTGAGCAATGTAATGACATGCCTTTGTGCCACGTGCTATGACATGGACACTAGCTGCTTTAGAGAGCTTCCTCCCCTACATGTCTCATACCAGGTCAAGTCTAAGATACATGACATTTTTCCTCTTTTATAAGCACCTCACTCTCTGCTTTATGATGTTGTGCTTATGGAGCTCCTGGAAAGTTTCCTAAAATCCCATGCTACCCAGCACACACACACACACACACACACACACACACACACACACACACACACCTTCCAGTCTATTTAATTAGTGAGTTTATTTATCTACCTATCTGATAAACATACACATATTAAAAAAATTATTAGGATGCATATCAAAATGCTAAGAGTAATTATCTCTGGGTAGTAGGATTATGGCTATTGTACTCTTTGTTCTTTATAATTCTCCTATTTTCAAATATGATATTGCATGCATAATTGCAAATATTGTATTTGCAAATATCATATAAGCATATCTTACTTTTATCATCAGAAAAGATAAATGATGCTAAAGGATTTTCTTCAGGGAAAAATAAACAGAACCATGATTCTCAATCAGCCTAAAATGGTACCAAAAGAATACATGTGTTCTTGGTTGAGAGGGGAGGCTAAGTAAGATATTGTCACTCTGGTGACCAACCTAAATGTGGAAATTGAATGAATTCTTTTCTTGATTCTGATCATACTACAGAGTCTTAGGCCCCAAAAGATAGCAAAGCCTCCTGTTACAAGGGAAAGAATTCTCATTTTCCCCTCATTGCCCTCTTTCTAATCTCTCTTTAACAAACAACAGGGGAAATGGCCTCCAACAGAAAAGGGGAGTGGGTAGAGCTGCCTGACTCAGTTAAGAGGTGGAGATTTGAACTTGAGAGCAGTTATTCGATAATCCAAGATTGAGGGGCCATGTCCCTGGCATTGCCCAGGATGACCTTTTGCCCGCTTAGTGTCCAGATCTGCTCTTAAAGTGAGGTGTGTGGGGAAACACCTACCCTCATGCTGAAGTAAGTGGTGGGAGCTTCTCTGAATGAAAAGCCTGGCTTTCCTGGGAACATTGGAGCATCATTTGGGTGAGCCAATGAAAGAGAGAGCCAAATGGATGAAAAGGGCAGAGAAAAAGGAGCCCGATTCAAAGGTTAGGAAGCCTGTGTTCTGTCTCAGTTGGAATCTGGAAGCCTGATTTTCTCTTACGCCTGTGCTTTCTTATGAATGAAACGTGAATGGGTGTTTGCCGGCACCTACAAGTGCCAGCCATGCTCCTGAGTACTGTGGATTATACTAGGGTGGAAGCTGTGGTCCCTCCCAAATGGCAATAATAATACTAGCCCCCAGGTACCCCCACCTACTTCAGGGAATAAAAGGAGAGGAAAGTACAATAAAAATGATTTACCAGGACTCCCTAAAATCTGGTCTCTTCAGTATTAACATTTCCAGTGTCGAGAGTCTATTAACTTCAGAGGAACCCAGTGACTGGGGAAAAGGGGCCTTTTAGCACATTTACAGTTCAGTGCTTTAAAATATGTAAACAATCATGAATCAACCACTGTAGCAAATCATTCTTCAGCTATTTAATGGTAGGGTATTTTTTGAAAAGGGTGGTCATTAAAACAAATCCTTTTAGGACAATTTTATTGTTTTAATGCATCTGGATTTAGAGTCTTAGAAGATGATCTACAAATACAGATCAAACTTGTAGCTTCCTGTCTTACCACCTTTTTAAATATAGTCACACAGACCAGTCCTTATGGTGTTGGCACCATTGTTTTACCTGTTTTATTCGTCTGATCACCCGCTTTTCAAGGCTCACTTCAGAGAATCCCTCCTCCATGAAGCCTTTGCTGATACTGCATCAAGAGGAGATACTGCCTTCATTTGAAGCTTCATGACAACTGGGCTCTACCATGTATTAGGTTCTGCCTGGCATTATAGTTCATTCGTCTGCTTGTCTCATCCCCATACTTGAGGACATGAGCTGTATCTCACTCATCATTATATACCCTCGAGCAGCTAGAACAGAACCTTACATAGAACAGGTGCCTGGGATCCCATATACAGGGAGCATCCAGAGCTGGAAAGGACCCGAGAAAGCATTTGAGCTAATCTTTTAATTTTTCTAAAGGGGAACCCAAGGCCAAACAGGGGGAAGCGCTTTGCCAGAACCAATAGCTAATTGTTGCCAGGGTCAGAGCTACAACTCGGTCTCTTGGCCTGCAGGACAGCTGCCGTCATCCTAGAGCACACAGAACAATCATCTGGCGTCTTGGACTGAATTACAAAGCCTGTGAGAAGTGAGAGGTGCTAGTACTGTGTCCAGAGGCTCGCTGGGAAGAGCCAAACTCATCTGAGGGTGGGGGAGGTGGGCATTATCGACCACAATCCTAGCCGCCCCTTGGATGAGTGTTCCCGTGTGCCAGGCACTGTGCTCGGCCCTTTACCCAAGTTGCCTTATTGTCATTGTCTGCTCAGAACGGCCACTCGATCTCAGAGGACTGACTTCTCTCCCTTTTTCCCTTCTAGGCTAATGGAGGTTGGCAGGATGCTACTACCCCTTCATCAGTGACCTCCCCTACAGAAGGCCCTGGCAGTGTTCACTCTGATACCTCCAACTGATCTCCCAGCAGTCGCATCCCGGCTGACCCTGTGCTCCAGTCGGGGCCGGGCCAGGAGGGAGGGTTTCTCAACGCTGAAGCGGTCAGACTGGAGGTCGAAGCAATCAGCACACACAATAAGAGTCTCCTTCTCTTCTCTTCTTTGGGATGCTGTTTCAGCCAATCTGGACACTTCTTTATACTCTCTTCCCTTTTTTTCTGGGTAGAAGCCACCCTTCCCTGCCTCCAGCTGTCAGCCTGGTGTCCATCATCTTCCCTGCCCCTTTCCCTCTGTCCTAGACTCCCTGGGTCCCTGCCCTCTATTACATCCCTGAAGGATATTTTCAACAATTAGAGGAATTTAAAGAGGAAAAAAAAAATACAAAGAAAATAATAAAAGTGTTGGTATGTTTTCATGCTGGTGGTTTGAGGGGCCAGACTTACCTCCCTGGGATCCCTTGCTCCCTCTGTTAACAGGCAGTCCTTCTCTGTTTCTCTCGTTACTCTCACTACCTCTTAGCAGGAATACGCCACATTGCCCTACTCATTCCAGGCTGCCCTACCTCCTCTTGCTCTAACCTCCCCGGGGGCGATTCTGATTAGAATACAATTCCTCCTCTTCCTTCTCAGCCCCAGGTATTCTTTGGGGGCTGCCTTTGCTGGGCTTCTAGAAGTACCACAGTTTCTGGTTTCACCTCTGCTAGCTTGGTTCCCAGCAGGAAGTCAGGCAGCAAGAGAAGGCTCAAGGAACAAGAAGGGCAGAATTCCTAGAGGCTTTTGCATCTTCCCAATAACAGCTCTTGGTTTCAGAGGGGCTGGAGACCGTGCAGTAGGCGGTGTTCAGAACCTACCGCAAAACCAGGTCTGAGTTAGGCATGGTGGTGAATGCATCACTAAGGAGTAGAAGGTTCTTATCCTGCAACCCTTTACCTATCCCCTTTCTCTCTCTCTCTCTCTCTCTCTCTCTCTCTCTCTCTCCCTCTCTCTCTCTCCCACACACCCACCCATCTCTCTCTCATCACTATGAATGCATTAATTTTTTCAATGTGTTAATATTCATTATAGACATTATCCTTTTTGATGCTCAAATTGCCACAGATTGGTGCATTGAAACCTCTTCCAGTGGGTCCTATGCTTTTTATACTAGACCCAATTAATCTTTAAGTTCATCCTTGTTTTTCTGACAAAGAGAGGTGTTCCAGGCAGCCCTTGAGACTTCCAGCCGCTGCTCCATGTAACTTTTAGAGAGGAATGACATTCAGAAATCAAGATATGGGCACTAGATGTGTTCATGGCTACTAGGGGTCACTGCTTATTGCTTCCAGGCCCAGTCTCTCTCTCTCCCACACACACACACACACACACACACACACACACACACACACACGCATACAAATGTAGGCATGTGCACAGCCTCACACATTTCACTTGCCCCAAATCAGGCACGTGCCGCATTCAAATACCTATATTAGTAACCATAGCAGTATACCTTGTGAGCCCAAGAGAGGGAATTAACAACTCTGAGTGAAGGTCACTGACACAGAGAAGCAGCATGTGCCTGGGGCTTCCAGGCCCCCAGCATGCACACACCAGAACGACATACACAGGACTCGATCATGATGAAGCCCAGGTTTCCAGTATAAACTAATCCTGTTCTCACCACCTCTGGAGCTCTCAGGGAGCCACACACAGTACTTACAAAGTCTACAATGGATTTGGTTCTGTTTTGTTTTTGTGTTTATGTTAGGGACATTGCATTAATTATCCAAAGTGTTATATGGCTCCACATTCTTGTCCTGGAGGAGAAAGATGTATAAGAACATGGCTTGGGCAAACATTTTGCTTGCTTACTTTGAAGACCTGAGAGTGATGGGAAGCAGGGAGGTCATGCTTTCAGTGAAATCATCCATGATTTTTATTCCCTGGTAATATCTGAGAGTGAAGAGTAGGTACTAAAAAGCTGTCCTCATGTCGCCTGTGCTCACATTCATCATAGCCAACTGTGCCAGCAATAAACATGGCAGCTCTGTCATTTGACTAAGTGGGAGGTGGTCAGATCTCTTGGTGCCTCATTTTCTTCATCTGTAAAATGGGGGTTATTACGCCTGGCTCACCGAGAGGCTTGTGAGAGACCGAAGAAGTTGATTTCGTTCATATCCAATCTGTAACTGTGAAGTCAGGGAAAGAAGCAGCCCTAAGATATACTGGTTCATGCCACATAGGGACAATAAGTGGTTTTCCTGTTCTAACTTCTGGTTAACATTAGTACCCTGAGGTCATCAGCCTGATGACAAAGAGAAGGGTTAGTGATGTTCCTTCTGTTTGTTTGTTTTGGTCTGCTTGGTTTCTTAGAATAGAGATGTTTCTAAATTGGAAAAAATGGGACCTGGTTCTCTTAGCTTGTACTTGAATCCAGTATGTGGCCTTGTAACTACTTAGTCCCTGTCACATCTACTATCTTTGAGAGGCCTCCGGGAGAGGTATAAGACCCTGAGGGGTGAGAGTGGCCAGCTAACAAGGTCATGGACGTTCTGCATGGCACTTCAGTAATGATTAGAAAATGTTCCTGTGTGTGGGTGTTGGGAGGTGGGGGGTTAACCCAAGGAACTAGAAGGTATGTGTATTTGAAGGAAATGCAAAAAGTAAATATTTGGCAAGATGGCATTATGCCTGGATGACTGAGATCAGTAGAAAGACTCTCTTCTAACCTGTGCCATAATCAGAGCAGGGCTTGATAAAGAGGATTCCTGGAAGGAGCCATCTTGTGACCATTCTACAGTGATTAAAACCGGTGGAGAACTTTGTCTGAGTGGCAGGGATCTATTGAAACTACCCACAGAGGAATATGGTGGGATCGCATCCCCCTGATTAGGGGCAGAGTACAAAAGGGACACAAAAGGGTTCTCTTGGAAATGGGAAGAATGATTCCAGATTTGGGTTGAATGATTGCCATTTTAAGTTGATGAAAGAGATCAGAGCAGTGCTACCTTTGCACAGGCAGTTTCTCTCCCTGCAGTAGTTTGCACTGGTCACCTCTCACGGCATCTTCCCCACCTAGCACTTCATGCAGTGCTCTTTGCATCCAGTACCTTTCCCACGATTTCCCCTCCTCGCCTACGATCACATCCAACGTGGCGGCTACCACATCTCTTTGCATTAAGCGAAGCATGAGAACACTGGCAGCGGAAGGCTGGGGATGGAAAGTAGCGTGCCTCTGGAAATACAGCTCCCTGGGAATTCGTATTAGGTCAACCCTACAGATACCAAAATGTGCCCCAAGACTCCTTCATTTTCTGATGGAAGTGGGAGCGCTCCATTTTCCCTGGCAGATTTCCCCTGAGAAATGATACTAGCCCTGGGGTTTGCCCACCTTGTAACTCTTCATCACATCCTCCTTTTCATCCCTAACTCCTCCCCCTGGCTTGGAATTGACTCCTGTGCGGTACTTTTGCCAAGTGACACCTTTACATTTATTTTTTATTTTGCTGTGGTGGTGGTTCTTTATTTACCGTTTGCCTTTTCTCACATATCTTCCCTGCCCCTCTTTCCTTCTGAGTTTTATTTTTCTGCCCAGAAAAACCTGACTTCGATACCAAAAAAAGATGAAACTACAGAAACTCAAATTTAAAAAAAAAAACTTAAAAAAACACAAAAAAATACTCAACGATTCTTTCAGCTTTATTAACATTTTCCATTGTTTCTTGCGACTCGTGTCTCGTTCTTTGTAGTATTGATGATGAACATTTGATAATGAATGTTCTTGTATATTCAGATAAAGAAAAAAAACCAAAAAAGCGGTCTGAATTTAATAGTGTTTATAATAAAAATTTTAAAAATGACCCTCATAGCACGCAAAACAGGATGGGGAATTTCCCCTCTTCTTTCTGTGACAATGCACATCATTCCTGCATTAGTTTTTAACACCGAACTACCTACATTCACCATTTCCCCCATTTTTCTTTTATTTTCTTGCATTTGTGAATTAGTTCAAGAATGCTAGAAAAGTGTCGAGTTGTGCACATCCATTTCCTGTTTCACAATGTTTAAAAGTGACAGTAATTCATTTTGTAAACTAAAAAAAAAAAAAAAAAGGTTGGAATAGTGAGCATAATAGGTACAGCCTAACACGTTATTATGTTTATTAACTTTGAGACCCAGAAATAAATTCTTTTCTTTTCTTTCTTCTGCTCTTTGAAATATAAAAAAGAAACTATGTTTTGTTTTGTGTTATTTTTGGTTTGTTTACGGGGGGGCTTTTTTTAATTGTCAGGATTATGGTCTTGCTGTTTTTATTCCTTAAATATGTATTTGAGGTGATGTGAAAAGATGACATTTGTAGAATAGGCTGTTTCCATGTACTTCTGTTTGCTTCAGAATTCAGTTGACTTCAAAGATCAAGCCCACAATGATTCCTATTTTTCACCTGCATTTTTTGGAGTGTGTGGCATTCTTGCAATCCCTGAGAAAAACAAAGACAAAGACTTGAGTTTTCTTTATAGCCCTTTAACAATTCAAGGAATTGGTCCAGGGGACCTT